CAACCCGCTTTTCTACCACCGCCCTTTTTGTACCGCAAACCGCTTACATTCTCTCTTTGCTTTGGCCGCCATAACAGGTACAGCATAACACCAAAACAGCAAGAACAGCTACTCTGCCAGCCTGCTATGTATACAAAATCGTTAATGAGTTTAAGTGAAATTGTCAATGTCAGACGACATATAATTTTCAAATATAATTTGGTAAACCAAGGATAAATGGTATTTCTAGCTAATAATGTTCTAAAAATTTTACTTTATGAGTATAAACCTCTCGCAGAATATTCATAAACAGCAAAAATGAACAATACAGTATGAAAACTGATCACTACAGCATTCAATGATAAAACTACATGTGGTGAAGTTTTAACTACTCACACAAGTAACAAAACAATTGCCAGGTTCCCTACATCAAACAAGATGTCCTATAATTATGTTTAAACTGTTAATGACAGCAGAAAACTGGCAATGAAATGAGTTGTGCCGTTGTTGTGTTAGAATGCTTGCAATAGCCAAGTCGGGATAAGTTTAGGGATAGTAATAGTGATTCAGACTTTGCAATTGTTGAAATTGAAACATACTCCTGATATTAAATGTTAATCTGGCAAATGTGATGATACAAAATGTAATTTTTTCTGTAAAATATTAATATTTTAAAATATATAAAGTGTAGAAAAATAAAAATTGTAAATTGACAACCCATCAGTGGCTTACACAATCTCACAGTAGAAATCAGCAAGCTCCAGTTTGTTAAGAACAAGTGTTTGTATAAATCTACCAAATTTGTTGTTACCCAATGTAATATATTTAAACAAATACTCAATATTTTAACATAATACCATCATCCCAAAAACAAGTTTACCAAATTACAACACTCTTCTTGTCATAATGCATAACATTTTGCATAAAATTATATTAAAGTTTGTTGAAATATACTTTTTCTATAGAGTTTATACTAGAACATTTTAAAAAAAGGTTATTAAAATTGTTTTTTGTTCATAATTGTAATAATTTCTGTTTTTAATTCTGTGGAGGGTGCATTAGTGAGTTATAATAAAAATAAACTATTATTAAAAAAAAAACTGTATTCTAACAAAACACTTTTAAATCATGACATGTGGATTTCCGTTAGGACATAAATTACATCACTGCCCTCGATGGGAAAAACTAGAGATTGTTGATACTCCAACATACATCCATATCTCCAACAAACTTGACAACTTCTGTCAATTTATACACCAACTGACGACCTACACTATCAAATAAATAATTTTATATTTGTTAAAGCTCTCCAAGGACTATTTCAACAAAAAAGGTTTAAACAGATTACATTTACTAAGTAAATACCAAAATAATGAGATTGATAAGGATATCTGTGTCAATATAAGTTTTTAAAGTGAAAAAAATTAACTAACCAACTTATAGGAAGATTTATAAAAAAAAAAATTAATAGCACAGAAGTTTTGAATAATATTCTCATCTACCTGATGTAAAAAAGAAAATGGTCATATAATTATATAACCACAAAATTCTATGATTTTGCACCCCTCACAATATCTAAATATTTACACAAGTCTGAAGTATATGCTCATACATCAATTAGATGCAAGATGTTATGCATTTTAACAAGTCTTTAAGCATTTGATTGTTTACTGGCAGTTAAATTTTATATAAAACTTCAATACAAGTCGAAAATATGCATTTAAATAAAAATCACCAATGCACATTTTTTACTTCTCAATCAATTTTAAGGAAACAGCAAATAATTTTGCCCCGAATTTACCATATGGATATTAAAATAAAAAGGCTTGTGTTTTATATTTTATGCAAAAAATTGTACAATAAAAACTCATGGAATTTTTACATTTTTCATAAACCAAGTTGATACAATTACAGTAAAACTAAACTAACCTAAAGTTTCATTTTCAAAGTATGTCCTGTTTTTAAAAATTGATAAAACTGATTTGACATAATATACAATTTTGTTGAAGTCTCCTAGGCAGCAAATGTCATTAAATTATTTATTTTTTCCCTACACTTACGTAAGATTAAGTCAAAAGTGATTTCAAGTGAACTATGTATTATTTGAATACATTCCTAGGGACACTAAATACTAGGTTTTGTTGATACCCCAAATAGTATCAAGTAACACCCATTAATAAACACAAAATACTTCTTAAAACACTAATGTATACATAGAAAACAAAACATTTTTATTGAATTTTCAAACATTTTTGACACATCCGAAATGTTTCTTTCAAAAAATCTGATAAAATAAAAAGGTTCTTAGGTCAAAGGTGGTAATTTATAAATACCTTTAGAGAGCAGGCGCCTAATTTACTGCACTGCACTCCTTCACCTTCCGCAACACCTACAAACAAAATTGACAATGTATTGAATGACCCATTATGTGAAAGTATTAAATACATAGGAAAACAAAAACTACTACATTCTTGCTACTAGATTTTGGCCTTTATTACTGTTATATATCAATAAAGTTTTATTTGTAATATTATTTATATAGTGGAACCTGTTAATTCAATCTTCGCTAATTCGAAATCTTTAATTCAAATTTTTATTCCAGTCTCTAGCATTTCTTATAATGGTAAAGTCATGGTAGTGATAAAGTAATAGTAAAAAGTCGTGAATAATTCGAATTATATTTTGGATAATTCGAACTTTTCTACAAGTTAAGAATGCCAATTTCATGCTGGAAATCTGAGAAAAGAAAAAATCTGAGATTGCCAAGGACTTTGGAATTCCTCCTAACACATTATTCACCTACTTGAAGAATAAAGGAAAAATTCTCAACAGTGAAAGTAAGTGTGGTAAAGATTGAAAAAGGTTAAGGGAGCCAGAAAATCCAAATTTAGATAGTTGTTTTAAGATGTTTCAAACAAGCCAGGGATAAGAAGATTCCAGTGAGTGGTCCCCTCATAAGAAGCAAAGCTGAGCAATTTGCTATTAAAATAGGGAAAAACAATTTTAAGGTGAGTACAGGGTGGTTAGACAGCTTTAAAGAACGCAACAAAATTTCGTTAAAATCCATTTGTGGAGAAAGTGGGGCCGTTATTAATCAGCAAGAACCCCCCAACCATTGGAAAAAAAATTGGAGGAGATGATTCAGGTTATAGATGAAAGAGATATCTTCAATCTTGACAAGACAGGTCTTTTTTAAACTGACAAAACACTGGCCTTTAAAAACGAAAAATAACACAGAGCAAAACTAAGTAGAGTCACTCTCCTAATTGGTGCAAACATATACAGGTCCGAACTGATGATTGGCAAGTAGGCTAATCCGTGTTGTTTTAAGAACGTCAAGTCAAACCCAGTGGAATATGTGAGCAGCCAAGAGCTTGGATGACTAGTGATCTTTTTGAGAAATGACTGAAAAATTGGACAAAAAGTTCATAAAAGAAAAAAGAAAAGTTTTGCATAATTCAAAATCTTTAACGGTCCCCTGAGATTCGAATTATCCAAGTTTCACTGCATAATAAAGTTCCTGAGATTCGAATTATCCAAGTTTCACTGCATAATAAAGTATTGCGAGAGTATGAGAGCCTAAGAAGTATGCTATATATTTTTCTGTATTACTAGTGTTCCCTTTCATAACAACCTTACATTTAGCACTTTTTGTAGTTCTAGTGATGGGAGTATTTCACTGTAGCTATCTTGTATAATCAAAAATTAAACTGAATGTCTATATTTTTAATTAATATACATATTTAAAAACAGTGCGTAAGTTAGAAAAAGATAATATGAGAACCGCAGCCTGCGACTAGTGCTAAGTTCAGAATTATTTGTAATAAGTGATTCATAGTTTAACTTATTATTAATCTATAGATAGGTAGATAGATAATATTTTTTAAAGTCAAAGAAAAAAATATATATATGTCAATGTAATTAATATACACATAAATATAAAACATAGATACAGTGTTTTAACTTAATTTACTTTAATTAAGTTTAAAGTTTAAATAATTAATTTAACCTTAATAAGGTAACTCTTAATTTTTGTTTTAAACTGATGAAATTAAGAGCTTTTATTCTAGCTGGCACTAAGTTGTAGAATTTGATGGCTAAATACCTTGAACCATTTCTGGATCTCTCAATCTGGATCTATAGCAACCAAAACAACCTTTGAAGATTAATCAAATAAATATTGGGGCATTTCTCAATTGCGGGCACTCTAACCTAACCAAATATATTTTCCTCAAGGCACTGCGTCACAGTGTTGCCGTATTTATTTTAGTAAAATATGTATATGAATGCTACAAATATAAATTTACTTTTACGAAATAATAATTTGTGTTATGAGAAGCTACAAATTTTAAATAAGCATAAAACTTGCCGTATTTTTTTTGTAAAATGTATATGAAGGTTTAAAATATAAGTTACTTTTACGAAATTATAATTATAATGCATTTCTATTATATACGGTAATTTAATTATTACTATAAATTTTTTATATCATTTTAATCAGTTGTATTGTATATGCATTTGATTATTATCTTTAATTTAACTAAAATCTTTGAATTTTTATATAATTTCAATGCATTTCTATTATATACGGTAATTTAATTAGTACTATTAATTTTTTATATAATTTTAATTAATTTTATTGTATATGCATTTGATTATCATCTTTAATTTAACTAAAATCTATACTATTAATTTTTTATATATCACTTTAATCAACATTTGTATAATATTATGTGAGAGTATGAAAAAACTGGAGACTTGGCAACTCTGACACCATTTAAGCCAACGTTAAATGTCATATAAATGCTTGGTTAGGTTAGAGTGCCCGCAATTGCGAAATGCCCAAATATTGAAAAGGTTACCTTATCTATACAAGAGATTGTTTTGATTAGTTTAATTTAACAGGAATTTAATTTTATTTAGGTCGATAAATGAGCAGTGTTGCAATGTGATAAAATTTATATAATCAAAAACAGTTTAAATTTAAACATGTTATACGCCTGTAACAAATGGAAACTCACCTAAGACCTAGATCTTGAACGAGATTTGCTGAGTGACTTAGACCTTTCCTTTTCATCCTTGGAAATTGATCTTGACCGTCCTCTGGAGCTTTTGCTGTCTGAGCGAGATCTGCTTCTGCTGAAAGACCGACGATGCGATCTGGAGCGACTCCTTCTACTGCCCCTACTTACATAAATAGTTTGAAGTAAGTTAATTGTTGTTTGCATGAAATATAATTGGTAATAAAAATATTACCTTCGACGACGACCGTACCTCCGATGGGGTGATGTAGGCCTTCCGTAGCGAGCCATTTGAACTCTGAGTTCCCTTCCATCCAACATCCTGCCATCCATGGCGTCCAACGCGTCTTCGGCATCTCTCTTGTCATAAAACCTGTATTGTATTTACGATTAGAGAATATCAACGAAACATACATGCAATTTATTTACCTTACGAAAGCAAAACCTCTACTTTCTCTGGTGAACCGATCCCTTGGTATATAAATATCGCCTACTTCACCGCATCTTTCAAAAACGCGCCTTAGATCGTCTGGAGTTGTGCGATAGGTTAAATTATCGACTTTTAATGATACCATGCCATCAATACGCGGCGGTGGTCTACCGTAACTCATATTTGAAGAAATACTTTTTACTTTTATAATAAACTATCTATACTTTCTTTAAGACAATATACTATTTTAGCAACTCACCACAAGTGACGACACCAAAAAGCCGAAATAAAATGGCGGATAATAGAGAGGGAAAGAGAGAAAGCACAAAAATTGTTAGAGAAAGAAAGCATTCCAACAACAGGGTCACCAATACTTCAAATCTAAAAAAACTAAAAAGTCGTTGTTGATTAAAAACGAATTTGCTGGATTTATTTTAGAATTAGAGGTATGAGATAAACTTTAAAGCTGAATTTTTGTGTTTTTTATATAAATTTTACTGATTACACTTGTTCAACTAAAAACTAAATTAATTTTATGGATGTTCAGCCACTTCAACAACGTCAATATTTGTTTGTTCAACTGAAATTAACTTTATTAAAAGATGACAACCGTGCCATTTGAACTGTCACTGTCAAATCTGTCAAGTCAGAGATATCTTGTAAAGATATTTATTTATATCCCATAAAATTGTGCAAATCTGATAGTTTTTCAATAAGTGGATATAGTGTGATAGTTAAAAGAAATCGTTATCATTATTAAGCACTTTTTACAAACACATTTAAGTTAAGTTTTGCTAAAATATTTGCATACTTTCTCTTACGACCTTGTTCTAAAAAATAAACAAAAAGAAGGAAAAAATATAAAAAATATATTGGACTTTTACTTGCTGGTATGTACAACCTAGTGGGAGTCAATACCAAATTTGTGATAATACCTAGGAAAATGTAAACGAGCTATTACATTGTATTTGTAAGTCTTTTTAAGTTATTATGATTGAGATATTGATATACCAATGCTATGACTGAGGATATCAGTAAGCCTCCCAAGCAATACGATTATTTGCTGAAGTTTCTTCTGGTAGGCGACAGCGATGTTGGAAAGCAAGAAATCTTATCAGATTTGGACGATGGTTCTTCAGAGAGTCCTTTTTGTGGATATAGTGGTAAGTGTATGTACTTTTAGAAAAAGTATATTATTTATATCTTCATAAAAATACTTTTACAGCCTACAAAACTACCACTATTCTGTTGGATGGAAAGAGGGTAAAACTACAGCTTTGGGATACTTCAGGACAGGGAAGGTTTTGTACTATAATTCGCAGCTATTCCAGGGGTGCTCAAGGTAAGTTTATAATGGTATTCTGTTATAATGAGTTAATTAAACATTATATCAATATATTCATATTAAGAATCATTATATTAACTACAGTTTATTGCAAAAAAAACAAATCAGATTACATCAAAACTAATTATTTTTTTGTGCAGTTATCATTAATTTAATTGTGAACTTTTGTAGATAAGGACTCTCATTTTTATTTGCATAAGTTCAATATTTTAATCTTTCATTGTTTGCTTTAATAATCTGACAGGATTTAAAAATTTCATTGGTAATATTTGAATGTCGTAATTAAATGAAAGAATATATACCTACCTATTAGCATTAAATCCTCCTTAAATCTAACATTACAAAATCAATTGCTTGTTTAAACGTTGAAACAATTTTTGCCTTCGTCAATAGAAAAATTCATCATTTGTTATTGCTGGTATATACATTCCACCTGTTTCAAACATTGACATCTATGACTTATAATGTTAAAGAGACTTTCTTTTTATCTTATGGGTGACAATAATTATCTAACTTTGGTATTGCTGGTTACTTCGAGATACTACAATAATTTTATACATTATTTTTGTCACGAGCTTTAAAAATAGGTGATACATAACTTTCTATCTAGTCAGGAAGGAACTTGTAAACAAAGATAAATTAAACAGTAGGTATATTGGTTTGATTGAGCTTTCTGGTAAATACATTGATATATTTTTCATAAATACATGTTTTCCAGTATTATTATTAGATAAAACATAATAAAATTATTCAGATGGTTTAGTTTTAAAGATTCACTAGGCAGAATCACAGGAACTCATGTGGATACTCAATTCTCAATTCACGTGGATACTCAACATGTAACTATTGAGATAGGAGGTTATGTCAGCTGTTTTCACATGCAATGAGATAGGAGGTATTGTTTTAAGACGGAATATTCCATTACTAATGGGGACAATGTCAGACTATTTACATAACACTTTAGCTTCATATAGTAATCACATAAATGAGCTGGTAAGCTTTATTAGTCATTTAACACATTCTGCTAATATTATTTCCATTAATTTTACATTATAGGAAGCTTTTGATGATACTGCTAATTTAAACAATAAATTTAGTCTTACTATTCTCCTGGACTGCATAAAAAGATGACTTTTAATGATAGATTGTAGTATCAGTTGACAGTTGTACTAATCAGATTACTGCTAGACTATTAGCAGAACATTTTTCATTTTTATATAGTAATCACAATAATTGATGTTTTTTGTTCTGTTGTTTGACATTGTCTGCTCTAGTCTAGACAGTTTATATTTTGATTGTGCTGAATTTAATTCATCTCTGATATCTCTTGTGATCTTGACCAAGGGCTCACATTTTTTTAAAAGCCATTTTACAGATAGATTATGCCTTCTTTGTGACTTGTTTGTGCCTGATTGGCATTCTTATCTCATTTATCTAATGTTTGAGTAGTTTTAGATCTCTACTAGTAATTTTGTTGTCAGTGTTGTTTTTGTCTGTTTCTTTTTATTTGCTTTATGTGGTTGTCAGGTTCTTCCTAATATCTATCTTTGGTTCTGTATTTGTGCACTCAATTCCATAGTTTACATTATAATTTATGATTTAAGTTTGTCAGACAACTTAAGTTTGTCTTAATTATCCACATCATTCTACTTAAATATACATGTCTGACATTCTTTGGCAGGACTTTATGCTACCATTATAACCTTTTCTCATCTTATTTACAGAGTTGTCCATTTTTTTCTGTTTTTTGTGTACTTCAATCACAGCTTGTATAATGTCATCAGATATGTAACTGGCATCATTCGTTTCTATTTTCTGTATTTATAATCAGTTCAGAATGTTATTCTGCAGTCAGATCTTCCCCTAATCTCTGTCTTTACTAGTATATCTTCATGACCAAAAAATTTTGTCCCTTGAGCCTTTATATGCCAACTAGCACATGCTTATCCTAGTTCTTGTGATTGAATAATCATTTATATTTCTGTCTTGGGTTTGAATTTGCCCCACGATTCTTCTAAAAATCTTTTGTCCATATCACAAATAACTAGATTCGAATATTATTCTGCTCTCGAGTCCTCCTTGAGGCTACCTATTATCTGATTTTCACTAGAATATCTTCACTGTGAAACAATGTTATCCTTTTTTTGTTTGTGTGTCAACCGACATCTGTTATCTGACTTCTATCTTATGATTGAATAATCATCTGCATTTTCCATCTTGCACTTATTTTGAGAATTTTTTTTGTTTAGTTTATCTTTGTCTCTAGCTTTCACTAGAATATCTTCATGACCAAACAGTTTCAGCTTTTGAGTGCTTTTTGAAAACCATCTGCCATCTGAGTTCTTATGTTGTGATTGAAGAATCACATAATTTTTCATCTTAGTTTTCCTGTAATCTTAAGAATTGTCTAAATATCTTCCTTACTAGAATTGTTAGTTTATTGTTGTTTTTATCATTAGTCTCTGGTTTAGAATGTTTTCCACAGTCAAATTTTTCTCTAAATTACCTATTTTCTTGCCTAACAAGTAATTTTATCCTTTTCATACTTTATGTACCAATATTTTCTATCATCTGAATTATTATTTTATCACCAACTAATCTTTCATCTTAAGTTTCCTTTACTTTTAAGATTCTTCTGATAATCTTACTTGTTAGATTGCTTAGTTTATCTTTGATAAGAATATTGTATTTACGTAATATGTAATGCCATCATGTTCCATCATCTAATTGTCCAGGAAATCATATATTGTTGTAGGATCAGCCGGATCTGAAATGTTGTTAGCTATCCGCTACTTTAATTTTGATTCTAATTTTACTGATTATCATTTTTGTGGTCAATTTCAGATCAGTGCTCTTAAATCGACATACTTTAGATGAAGAATTAATGAGTATTTGCGTTTTTAAAAGATTTTATTTTTCGCAGGAGTTCTTCTAGTTTATGACATAACTAACCGATGGTCATTCGACGGCCTAGACCGATGGTTGAAAGAAGTAGACGAACACGCACCGGGTGTGCCGAAGGTTTTGGTTGGTAACCGCCTCCATTTGGCTTTCAATCGTAAAGTTGGTCAAAGAGATGCCCAAATATACGCGAACAAACACAGTATGGCGTTCTTCGAAGTCTCACCCCTTTGTAATTTCAACATCCACGAAAGTTTCTGCGAGCTGTCGAGAATGGCGCTGCACCGAAATGGAATGGAGAGATTATGGAGATCAAATAAAGGTTTGTTATTGATGTTTACGTGAATTTAATTTTAAGTTGTTAAAAACCTCTATGGGATAGCAGGTATACTCTTTAATTATTGCCAACAGAATTTCTTATAATTTATGATAAATCTTACAAATCAGCATATGTTTTTTCAGTAGGGTAGACCAATTATTTTATTTAAGAAGCCAACCCAATTTCACATTTGCAATTGTAGGTTTTCATTCATTTATGTGCATTATGAGTATTTATTACACCTATTACTCCAGTCGTGAGAGACGAAAATGCCATTCAACCTGTGAAAAGCTTACGAACAAGCTGAATTTTGCCGAGAATATTAATTTTAGGACCACAAAAAAGATGCAAAAAAATTTACCACTTTTACCCCTGGGCTTCTCCCTAAAACCCCCCTCGTATGCACCATCAGCTATTACAGTAATATCAGCTTTGTCATCTGCTGGATCACCTTCACCCCATTATTATAATATAAGCAAATAGTGAAACAATAGTATTGTTATAGTATTTATAAAGTCAGTTGAAACACCCAAAAAAACTTGTTGCCGGCAAACATTAAAAGAATATATAATATTACACGACATGAGCGCACCATTTATTTTTATATTCAAGTATTCCTTGAATATAATTGACAATTTTAATGTACGTAAAACGGTCGTAAAATACATAGTGCAAAGTGTCATATTTAGGAACAAATATAATTTAATTTAAGTTAACGTTAAGTTATTTTAAGTTAATGTGTACTGTGCGTGGCAGCGACGTGTATGGACATTCGAGATAGAGTGCGTGATGTATTATGACAACTCAATTTTGCGGCGTCTTAAAATAATAGTAATTTATGCAACAAGTGCATAAAGTGGTACTTTTTTCACGAATGGAAAGAATAACTGCACTAGCCAACAGGCAAGTGCGGTAATTCCACGAGTGAAAAAAAGACATCTTATGCATGTGTTGCATACAAACAAATTTTTTTCTGCAACCCTGTATAATGAATAATATTAAAAGAAAACATTTGGTATTTGAAATGGGAATCCCAATTATATATATATATATATATATATATATATATATATATATTTATATATATATATATATATATATATATATATATATATATATATATATATTAACTAAATTATCATGCTTAATTATTAAACGCATAAAAACATAATTAAGTTTATTTTAATTACCATTAAGACTTTAATGTTCTAAATATTTCTTTAAAAACTGCTGATCAACGTAACATTAATAATTTAGATGTAAATATAGAAAATAGGCAAATTTCTGTACCAAAAACGATAGTTTTCTTGGTTGGTTCAACTTCACTGAGACGGGGCTCATATAACTAAAACACATTTTTGTATAGTAGACAAAGTTGTATTCCGAAATCATTTAACGAACTGAGTTAATAAACAGACTATGAATACATAGACTAGTTATAGTCAAGGTATGATTACATGAACAACTATTTCACACATACCTTTAATCAGAATTATAATCAGAACTAGAATCGGTGTCCAAATTAGGCTGAATAACAATTGGGATGGTGGTACGATCCACTATGGGATATTCATTTTCTATGTCGATAACATGGGAGACACAGTTCTTCCAAATCTCACTATCGAACTCATTGACTGCTTGTCGTATGTTGTCTAGTTGGACTGCATTCAATGTCGGTGACTCATTTCGTTTCCTTAAGCGCGTCTTTAATATTCCCCAAATCATTTCTATAGGATTAAAAATACAGTAATAAGGTGGCAAGCGTAAAATAGTATGTCCTTGTATCTTACATAGTTCGTCAAGTACGTATTCTTTGTTAAAACTGTGGGACTTTACAATACTTAATAAATCTTTCTTTAAAAGGACTCTATTAGGAATACGTATTTTATTATCTCTCAAAAAAGTTATAATATCATCTTTCCTAGTACTACTGTTGGGTATTTTTCTTAATAGTCGTGAATGATAAGAAGCATTGTCCATGACAATTACAGAGTTGGGCGGAATATTAGGAAGAAGTTGTTCCTTAAACCATTTTTCAAATAAATGAGCGGTCATGTCTTCATGATAATCGGCAGATGATTCATTGATGTTTTTGGCAGATAGTAGCAATGCATTTTGTACAAATCCTTGTTCACTACCTGCATGCAAGATTATTATGCGCTTTCCCCTTGAACATGGTGTATTTAAACAGCAGCTCTGAGAGTTATCTACCCAACCATACTTAACGACGTCGTGTGTGTCAAACCACGTCTCGTCTAGATATATTATTAATCTATTGGACTGTCGATATTCTTTAATTTTATGTAAATACTCCTGCCTAAGTTTGACTATTCGCTGCGACTCCATTATTACCATTCTATTATTTAATTTTTTATATCTAAACCCACAGTCTATTAAAATATTTCGTAATGTCGCTAAACATCGGTAGTCATAATCAGGGTATTCTCTTAGAGCATCCTGGATCATATGCAGTGTAGGTACCTTGTTTTCCTTGTACAAGTTATACACTGTTTTTCGAATAATATTCTTATCCATATCGTCTATTTTTCTGAATTTTTGATTATTTCGTTTTCGTTTTAAACAGTGATTTATTACGTTCCCTTCCCTCACAATACGATAAATTGTTGATAGTGATAGTTTGGTAAGTTCACGTATTCTATTTATAATAGTCCTGTCAGAGTTTTGTTCATTTTCTTTTTTTAAACACTCATATATGTTTAAAACAATACGTTGACACTGCACATGTAGGTCTTTGTTCTTAAATTCTAAACTATTTTCAACACAATTCGGTTCTGGGTTAATATTTTCCGCATTTTCAAATGGTCGCCAAAAGGCCATATTTAGAGTATAATAATTATTTATCACTTATAACAATAACAGGTCGCGTCGTAAAATACTAAACTAACATTTAGAATTATGCACAGCACTGGCATAATTCAATAGCCGGTTCTTATCTACCTGCATAATTGCCGGCGTTAGCAACCGGTAGCGAACGTCCAAGCAGTGCGTAAAATTTTGGTGATTTTGGTTAACAAGTCAATGTCCAGTATTTATTTGAGGGAATGTAATTTTCATGCTCTGTTTTTTCTATCTCTCTTATACGGAATATAGGGATTGTTCAAATACGTTCGAAACATTGACGCGTGTTATTTATAACTTGATTTGATTACCGATAAATGTGATATTGAACTCCCCTTATATATGGCATTCAAATAAAATGTTTCAACTGACTTTATAAATACTATATAAACATTATAAACCTTATATTTCCTTTAGAAGGAAAATGCCACAAATCAACAGAAAATATTTCTATTCAAACAAAAAATTAAATAAAATAATAGTGTAGCGAGATTAAATAAAACGAGCGGTTCGAATTTATATAAATATATTTATTTATAAGATTACAGTTCGGTAATACCTTATCAACTAAATCTTAACTCCTAGGTGGTTATGTACTAGAATGTTCTGGAGTAGCCCACCTCTAATTCGCCTATTTGACGGCTTGATCAACCGTTACACGGGCCACGCCGAATACATGTTCGTAACACTGCTCCCTTTTAGATCTGAGCGCACCGATCAGCAATTCTATATGTAGGTCCAGAATGGCGGAATCTATAGGACTCTCCAGCTATGCATGAACCTCTCAGAAAGAAATAACAGTACTGTCATTGAAGGACACGATCTCTTCGGATTAATGCAACACGCAATAATTCTTGCTCCGGTTTCTCGGAAGATCACTTCAAGCATTCTTATGACAATCTTCTAGTCCAGATTATCTAGTGCATGGCCTATCTTGGGTAAGGTCAAATTCTTGATGTCGTAAGTGCAGACGATTTTTTCAAATTAGTTAGAGCACGCCATATATCCTCGTATACACACCACCGAACTACTTATAAAATATGGATGAGATTCCTTTACTCGTCTCAAGATCTTGGGCAACACAGTGGGCTAGAGAGACGTTATGCGGAGCACTAAAAAGATCCTGCTGAACTTCTGCGGTCACGCCGAATCTAGCAATCTTTCGCTCTGCGTAATTTGACATAAATTCATTAAAGCTTGGTCGGCGGTGATCTTTGATCTCATGTTGAAGAGTTCGTGTTCTTCTGTTTTATTTGAGCCAGCATAAGGTGCAAGACGATTTATGTGAACTACTTTTGGTTTACCTTTCGGCAACTTCTTAATTCGGTACATTACGTCAAGTATTCTCTTTTTAATTTCATACGGACCTTCCCATTGTCTTTGCAATTTAGGAGACAAGCCTCGACGAGGTTGTGGATTATAAAGCCAAACAAGATCACCTACCTTATAGCTTTTATTATTACATCGACAATCATATTGATCTTCCATTCTGTCACTGGCTAACTGGATGTGTTGTCGGGCAAGTTCATGAATGTTGTTCGTTATTAACTTTAGGTGGTCGACATAATCTTCGCTTGCAACATGTTCTTTGGAAGGTCTGCAGCCAAACTTTAGGTCGCAGGGCAAACGAACTTCACGACCTAACATCAGGCAGGTTGGAGTCTGACCTGTAGTTTCATTCACGGCCGAGCGGTAGGTCATTACTAAGCAATTCCATTGGCTCCAGTAACACTTGGCTTCTGGACTTCTTTCACTTCGACTCATCCAATCCAATACTCTTTTTATACATGGATCATCTGCTTGAGCGTCTGGTAGCTGTTGAGGCTCCCATTGATTATTAATGACGGTGGTTCGACTCACGGGGCAGAGTCGTTCTTTTAATTTAAGACAGTGATTACAATTTGCACTGCATGGCCGTCTTGACTAAGCATCAGCATTTGAATGACTTTTTCCAGCCCTGTGTTTGATTTGTTCTAGCCTTCTGACTGTTGTATTATTTTCTTGCAATTTACGGCGAATGTAACCTACGTCGCCTCCATTCGAACATCTGGTTTCGCGTCTCTTCGGCATCATGTTACGGACTACTTTCCGTACGATTTCCTCCAGACGTTTATTGTTTTGTTCGTCGTTCTCTTCAGAGGTCCGTACTCTATAGCTCCGTGAAGCTCGACTAGCTGTCTTGTATTCCAAGGCAATGACGTGCGCTTCATCTAAAACTTTCGGTCTTGCTAGTCGTAAAGCTTTCTGTAGTTTACTGTTTCTCAACCCATTGATGAAGATATATACAGCAATTTCTTCCAATATGTTGTCTGGTGCCTCTGGATAAGTCAACAGCGCTATACGAGCAACATCTGCTTCAAATTCTTGCAAACTCTCACTTGCTCGTTGAATTCTACTTCTTATTTGTACTTTGTAGACTTTTTGTAGATGGGATTTCCGTAACGTTTGTCTAGTCGAGTAAACAAGGTCTGGTAACATTTTTCTTGACCCTTAGGAATTGATCTTAGGATATCCGCAACATCTCCTCGTAAAGCAGCAGTCAAGGAAACAGCCTTTTCTTGTTCTGTCAAATGATTGGCTGTCGCAATAGCTTCAAATTGTCTAAGGTATATGGACCAAGAGGACTTTCCATCAAATGGTGGCAATTTGAATCTTATATGATGTGTCGTTTCGTCTCTAGGTGATTCTTATTTCACTACCGGATCTAGAACTACTGCATTAACTGATGGTAGCACTTTTATATTAGTTATCATGGTCTCTAATTGTTTGATCTTCTCTTTTACGTTGTTTACATTTTTCTGTATCTGATCGAATGTTTTAGAGACTTCTTCAAATTTCTCATTGTTCTGAGTACATACTTCTTCAAATGTTCTAGAGTCTTTTCGAGTTTCTCGTCGTTTTGTCTAGCTACTTATTTAATAATCTGGGACGTTTCATCGAATCTTTTGAAAACGTTCACGAATTTAATTTTTTCTAGAAGTTTCTTCTATCTTCATTAAAACTGCTTCTTCTGCTGATTGAAAATGGAATGTCTCTGGGTCATCTCCATTCTTATTGAGAACATTCTTTAGTCGTTCTTGGAAGATCACTACCGAACTACGCGAATGTTTCCTGCAAACAATACTTTTCAAAAGTCTTTTTTTTTAAGTCACTGCTGAATTTATTTTTAAATAAATCAATTGTCCTCACACTGTGACACAAACTGTAGCGAGATTAAATAAAACGAGCAGTTCGAATTTATATAAATATATTTATTTATAAGTTTACAGCACGTACTATTTTATCAACTAAACTTAATGTTCTGGAGTAGCCCACCTCTAATTCGTTTATTTGACGGGTTGATCTCTCTCGCGCTCGATAAATCGCCGGAAATTTCTAGTCGTTTTCGAGGTGCAACCGTTACACGGGCCACGCCGAATGCATGTTCGTAACAATAGGTAATTACTACTGGTCTACACACAATTTCGCAAATTGTCTAACTTTTTCATGGGGCACATAAACGTCAATAGTCTGAATCTGAATAAACTTTGTTCGTTTAATAAACACTAAATTTTCATTTTCATTTCAACATTATTTTTGACCCTATCGAGAGAGTGTAGGATATATACCTGGTAGCTAGATATAGACAACAAGGAAAGCCTGTGTTGACCGAGAGAGATAACTATTAGGAGAGCTTCAAGCTTTTTTTCTCCTACTATATACTAGTATTGAATTAATATCGTAAAATGTGTATTTGTTGTAGTGTTGAGCCTTCAAGAACTGTGCTGCAGAGCCATTGTTGCACGCACAACGGTGTACAGCATCGAGCAGCTACCGTTACCAACCAGCGTCAAGTCCCATTTAAAGTCATACGCACTGACGTCGTCTTCGACGCAATGGCGGTACGTCATCAGTCAGAAGAAGAACAGTAGAGGATCGAGGAGTCGCAAAAAGCGGTTCACGAGTACGCCGACGACTCCCGGTTCAGTGACGGATAAAGACAGTATAACGAGCTGTGTACCCAGAAACTCTTGTACTATATCCTGACGCGCCCGGAATTCCTTGGACTTCATTTTCAGGACTACGAAACTCACGAAATGGATCAGGCGGACCTAGTGCGATCCGATTGGTATCTAATAAAATTTTAAAAAGTAACACCATATGAAAAATATTTTTGCAACTTGTAACTGACGTTTAGTACAAAATATCTACTGTACTTCATCATTAAATGATGATAATAATGATACATTAAAATTTTAATATATCCACTAATTTATTTTTTAAATGATTTTAATAATATTACATTATTACAGCTTTGTAATATATTCTATTGGGTACATCTGTCTTTTTCTTTCATAAAAAATTGGCGAAATATATGTTCTCTTTCTTTCTCGCTTCCATCGTTTAATTCCAGGAAAAGTATTATGTTTTCCTATTTGAATTGTTTTCTCGATATATTCTTGTATGTAATTGATTGTAAAAAAGCTTCTTAGAATCTACAACTTTCAGAAAGGAGACTCTCCGTAAGATAAGATCTTAAAATTAGTTACTCTCTGTATTTGTGTCGATTGATAAATAATTATGGCAATATATATTCAGAACTGGCAAATGGGACTAGGAGGTTTTCGCGGCCGGTAATTTGTAATTGTACCTTATACTCCGAGTTTAAACTCCAATAGAAAACTTGGATACAAATTATACTGAAAACTAACGCATACAGACCATTATTTGAACAGTAATTCAAACCATCACCTAAACAAAAGGTAGCAGTCATAAAAACTTCACCGGATCATACTGGATCCACCTAAATATTTAAAAAGATCTGAAACATCTTGATATGCCTTAGACTAAAACAGTTATGTCCAAGAGACATCAAGCTATCTATACGTTCAACAAAAGGCAACCGTAAAATCGACTAACAACGAGAGTAAAATGGTAACTTTCCCGCCCCTTTTATTACAAATGTGCAAAATTATAGCAAAATAATGTAGGTATGTACAAAGTTTATCTTCACAATATAAGACGGTCTAAGATTTGCCAAAGATCACAACACTTTCCGTGGATCTTGTTAATGCGGTAAATTCTTGGAGTTAAGTAATTAAATCATTCCTCATAGTTACATTGGAGACAATAAATCATATTCAAAATATTCGTTTGATTGAAAACAAGAAAAGTGTCGAATTGGTCACTGCAAAAAAGCACTCGTTGCGCAATAGACCACGCATAAAACAGTTAACAGGCGACTTCAACGGCTGGACAGCTGACTGAGGCCGTCCGCACATGACGCTACTTTTTTTTTTGGTAAATCTTCTAAAGACCGTACCAGGCCGTGTCCCGTTGTCAAGGATGACCTGGCGTGTGTTGGATTCAGGGTGGAAGGATCCATCCACACGCAGTCCCCCCAGAGGAGTCGTGCTCACAGATACACCCATAGCTCCCTGCCTGCCAACTAAAGTCCACCCCCTTTATACAGGCTACTCATGCCGTAGGTCTTCTCCAGAGCGGTGCATCACATGAATAGCCCATCCCCTCTCTCTCCATTTCTCCACTTATCTACCTTTGCTGTAGATTCCTCTCTAATGTCTCCTTCTTTCTGACAATTTGAGTTACTGCCTCCAATATTGCCTTGTACTCAGTCTTTCCTCTCATGGCTACCTGCATTATAGTATTTGTACTTACCCTACCTAGCTTTCTGTATAATTCGTTTCTGTCCTCATCAAATCTTCTGCACTCGAATACACAGTGCTCGGCTGTGTCAGCCACTCCACAGTGTGTGCAGCTTCCATCCGCAACCTTCCCTATCCTTTCTAGATAGGCCCTGAAGGAGCCGTGTCCTGTTAGGAACTGGGTGAAAAAGTAATTGGTGTCTCTGTCCCCTCACTTCATCCAATCTGCGATATTTGGAATTAATACCCTCGTCCAGGCCGCTCTATACTCATTTGTCCATTCTTCCTGCCATTCCGTTAGGCTGCTATTCCTAGCTATTATTTTCTCCTGCTCATCCTTCCCGTAGGTTTCTGCCCTTTCCTTCACCATCAAGTGGATGGGTAACACACCCGCGATCACTTGTATGGCCACCGTTGATGTTGTTCTGTATGCACGTCTTATCTTAGTAGTGCTTTCCTTTGAGCTTTCTCTAGCATTCGCCTATATTTCTTGATGTTAAGTACTTGTTGCAATACCGGTGCCGCGTAAAGTATAGTAGAGTGGACCACTTCCATTAGAATTCTCCTTTTGGCGGTCCCCGGACCCCCCACATTGGGCATAATCCTTGTCAGCGCCGCAGTCCTCACCTCTGCCTTGCTAACGACATATTTCACGTGCTCGCCAAAAGTTCGCCTCGTATCTAAGACTACTCCCAAGTACTTCACTTTTTTGGCAGGTACGATCCTTTCTCCCTCCAGGACAAAAACTATATGGTCTCTGTCCCTGGACCCTTGAGATTTATAGCTTCAGTTTTCTCGGCCGCTAGCATGAGATCTCTGCTTCCCATCCACGTCTTCACTTTGTTGAGGGCTCGATTCCCTCTCTGTATGATTGACCAGTTTTCATTGTGTTCCACATACATGATGCTACTGAAACCAGTTGGTAACTTTAGTTACCAATCAGTTGCTTGTAATGCAATTAGTTACTGTCCATGTATTTTAATGAGTATCCGCACACAGTGCTACTAGTTAGTAACCGGTCTCTAATGCATCAGTGATCAGTTGATATGAGACTGGACGTGCAGGTCGCTTGGGGACTAGTTTCTAGTTCCTGCCTATACAACAAAGGCTCTTCAATTTATATTGTTTGCAATGTAGTAGCGTAGTGTGCAAATCACAGTAAGTAAACAGTTGGTAATTCTAGTTTAGTTTTTTTTAGTAGCTTCATGTGCGGACGACCTGTTCATAACAAGGCGTCGACTCTCGATCGGACCATAAGAAGGTATCATTTTATCATCGCCACGTAAAATAAATGCATTATTTTAAATGCGAGCGTTCACTGTCAGTGCTATGCTCTAGGCGAGGATACCATGCGATAATCTCCGTAATGAACGCACCCTAAGAGGTAGTGCCTTAATAACAAGCCGCTGGAAGTTAGCTGCTGTTAAATTTTCTAAGTGCTTGGGCATGCGTGGTATGCAAAACTGTTTAATTAAAAATTTAGATTGATCTAAAAAATGGAATAATGGAAGTACAGTTATGGATGATAGTTACAGAAAATAACACGTATCTCGAAGTAACATTTTTAACCCTTTTATCTCCCTTCTGGGTATAATTATGGGGACCATAGAATATAACGTGAAATAAAAACACAAATGAATCACTTTTACACAGTATCTACCGTCGTTATATCATTATATAATGTATGGCGTATGAATTGTATTGCCAACAAACGCGTTTGTTTAATACATGTGGAAATGTTAGTAGTAGAAAATATGTCCAGAATTTTCTTGCTATTTTTCGACTTATTTCTGAAATAACACGAGTGATAATTTCTAAATTTGAGTAATTAACAAAATATATACTTCAAAAACTTGCGAATGCCTTCTATTTTTTTCTAGGTAGTAGCTATTTTGCTGTTTGGGTATGCACTTTGTATTGGCAGTGTGGATAAATTATTACCAGTTTTAAATCTAAATTTATGAGAAACCAACTTATCAATAAACTCGGATCCTGCTACAATTCTTGGTTCTTTGGAGGAGAAAACAAAGTGGATATATTTAAAATCTAAAAATTTACTATATGGGCACCTGTTTCTACCGAAGGCATGGATAAACAATTTTTTTATAAAACAGGGGTTTTTAGTAAAAATGTCTTCAATCTTAGCTATCATATAACAAAATATGTCTAGCAAAATCTCAATTTCCGTAAAAACTAACTTATCTTATTTCTAAAACGACCATTCAATTTTCTGTTTCACAAATACTTTTATTACACATTTAATTTTCATGCAAGCAAATTTTTCAGCTTTTTCCTTTTGAGTTCAATTATTTCAATATTAACAATAATATAATGCAAATACGTTTTCAATGAATATGGTAAACAGCAGATACTGTATCTTAAACAGAATCTGACTATAAACATTACGAATATTATATTATACTTCGAAAATTTCAATACCAATTCCGATCAATCGACAGATCCCGGAAGGTTCACGTGGCTACAAATAACATAGGTACTCGAATATCATTAGTGAGTGATGGCAACGACAAGAAGTCTATAAAATAATTTCAAATAACGGTAAATAATATTACGCAACAAAAAATCCATTAAAGATGTTAAAACTGTTTTCTTGTGACGAGTCTAAGTTAAGTACTATGTTTATATGGGAATAGCCCACAATTGATTGTAATGACAATTACATTTGACGTTTCGATCTCCACTTCGGAAATCGTTCTCAAAAATGATTATTAAATAATTTTGTTGAAAAATGATGTATAGTTGTTGACAAGGTTATGTCGTATCACAAAATTTGAGGTTGATTCACTTTTGGCCACTGTGTTATAGACAACAGTCATATTTGGATAAAAAGATGTGAAGGTGGAAGTTTTGCCCCATAGAAATTTCTCTGGTTACTCTAAGTAGAGCCCAAAACACTTCCTCGTTACGTAAAATTAACATCCGATCAGTATATTATAGATCCCAAAACACCTGCTTTAATGAAAAGTCTTTTCAACAAGAAAAAATCCTGCTAACAAAGGTCCTAACAAGAAATGACCACCCATTGTCATTTATAAACAAGGAACTCTAGACCAGGGTCCTGATTCTAATTGAGATTTCGACTTAAAACATGTCGAAATTAATATGGCGACGTTGAAATGCGACTTTGCAAGCTTAGTGGATTGCAGCTGAACTAACCAAAGGACGTCACTAATTTTCGATTTATCGAAATTAATTTCATTTCGAGTCGAAATTAATGTGCCATGACTGGCTGGACTGGAAGAAGTGATATTAGGTTCAGTTTAGGCTGTGTTGTGTTTTGTTTGATTCTTGCAAGAAACACTGAGGCAAAAAGTATTAATATGGCTGCGTTTTATGGACATTTGCTGGTTTTGGAGGAATTAGAGAGGATAGATATCCGACGCTTACAACGGAGAATAAGAAGAATGTTACGGGATACTCAAAATCCTTTTTTACTAAGTGATGCTCAATTTAGGCAACAAAGACCCAAAATGTTTAGGGTATTACTAAGCTGCAGTAAATTTAAAAATATATTAGATTATAACCATCAAGTCAAAAGCCACCATAATTTCTTTTTGGCCCACAGACAATTTAGTGCCACCATCACCGACAGCCTCTCCATCAATTTTCTTTCAATTTAAAATATAATAATTGAGAATGGCCACTAAAAATTTAACAAATCAAACAAGAAACAAAAGGCGCAACGTAAACAAAACAAACATTTAACAA